ATGGCTCTGATACCAATGTAAATCAAAACACAAAACATTAGCGGATAAAATATTTAGATCATACCTTTAGATGATAGAACCTCGTGGATAAATCACGTGCTTCCAGAGTCTGATAAACCATCCCAGCAGTGAAGTGATATTACAGAATGAATATCACCCACACAAATCACAGTGCAAATGACTTGATCGTTGTTTTTGGGAGAGAGTCAGTATATGGGTAAAACTCAGATCATACGTTGTTTCTCTCTTTTTCACCCATAACCCATATACCAGATATATAATGTGTTATTATTATCTATCCATATCAGTTAATGGAGATAATATCTGTATCCTGAGTGGTTATCCTAAATAGGTTTGAATTCAATTTCAAAACCTATTTGGATAAGATTCAAATTCAAATACAAATGGTCATGCCATATGGGCGCCCATTACTAACATGTGGTTTGTGAACTAAGAAGAACATCCTCTCTTTCAAGAGGTGATCTTTGAACTCTTCAACCAATTTTCTCTCTCTTTTTGTTGTACTTTCATACTGATTTCAGAGTTGTTTTTAAGCTTAAAATGTAATTAAAACTTTGTTAAAAGTGAGTGAGCTAGCCACCCTTTCATTGGCTAGTTCACTTGTTGTGTACCCCTTTGTTTTTCTTTCTTTTTTTTTTTACCTTCCTTTCACTTCATTTGGTTAACTTTTAGTCTCTTTTTAAAACTGTTTTTAGGCTATTTTTTCTCTCTCTTGTGATATGACTTGAATATGGGCTTATAAAAGTATCCTAGTCCTCCCCGATACTTGAGTTCTTACTGCCTATGCTTTAAATATCATGTTTGTGTTGTTGTAAGTCCTCTCGGATTTGGCATGTTTAGGATATAGCAGCCAATCCGTTGGGTTGATCGTTTTAGCTTTCCTTATGTAACTTGGAACCTTGTGGTCATGGGAGGATTAGAGCTTAGGCTTAGCCACCCCGACACAAGTTTACTTATCTAGTGTAAATTTCTTGTTTTCATATTCTTGTTATTCATCTTGAAGCTAGGTAGTAGCTTCCGTGTTTAAATTGCTGAAAAACTCTCTTATCGATCATTTTCGAAACATGCAAATAGACGTTTCGTCCTTGTTCTATAAAAAAGAGGAGTTGTCAATAATTTTGGCAAGTTGTGTGTTTAAACTTTGATAGATAGCTTGCTTTTTGTCTTTTTTTTCCTTACTTGCTTTGTTGCTTCTAAAGAGCTCTTTCTTGAGAAGTGTTGAAAACTCTCTCCTAGTTCCAAATTGAAGTATGAAAATGGATGTTTCATCCTTATTCCATGAGTAGGGAGATGAGTTGTCAACATTTTTGAGTTGTTACCTTTTTTTTGTTTTGATTGCTCTATGATCATCATGTACTATCTTGTGACTTGATAATTTATAAGCGAAGTATGCCTACCTCTTCTTTGACTAAGTTCATGATAAGAAGGAGGTAAGGAGCATAGCAATTTTTTTTAAGTCTAGCTAAGTCTTCTCCTATTGCTTTCAAGATCATCATGTAGCAACCTTGCTATGATTGATGATTGGAAAGCAGACCTACTCCCTCATTGACAATTTACATGACCGGAGGGAATAGGAAGGATGAATATCTTTTGGAAACCCTCTGTTTTGCTCTGTTCCAGTTCTGCTGCAGCAGGGGATTCCTCAGAAATAGTGGCTGGCTGGCCATTACTCTGTACGGCCGACCATCTCATCAGGCCAACCGACCAAGGATGTTGTACAGCAGTGGCATTTTCCAGCAAAATAGAGAAGATTTTTTAGAACAAAATAGACTTATTTTCTGACTGTAAACAGAGCAGCTTCTGGTAGCAAACATAGAGGTTTCCGGAGGATGTTCTCGCTTGTGCACATGTGACTCTCCGCTCATTCAAGTCCATTAGATTAGCTTTGAGATTCATATTATGTAATTAATTAGTTGCTTTCATTCGAACTTATAATAATTAATTGGTTCACTCATTCAGATTTGTAATAGTCAGTTAATTAGGCCATTTGGACCCTCTTGTGCAAGGGAAAATTTGTAACATTTGATGTATGTCTTCCAATCCCCATTTCTTTCTCCCTTTTATTTATATACTTATCATGGTTGTATGTAGTATCATGTTTTCATTTCATATCATTACCATGTTTTGCATCCATTTGTGCATGCATTAAGGTTCGATTCATCATTTTTGAATATTATTGTCATTTCCTACTTGCTTGAATACATGTGCTACCGCATGCTTTGAGTTAATCCATATGACATGTTAATAAGCCGAACCTAATAGTTAAATTCTTGTATGTGTTGCATTAATCATGTGCATTGTTAGGATCATGCATTTTTTTAATTGCTTTCTTTTTCTTTGGCTTACCTTAGAGTACTAGGTAAGCATTTTTTGCTTTAGCATATTCATATGTGTGATTATTGCCATGCTTAGCATATTACCATAAGGCTACGTGCTTACTTGAAATGAACTGTTTGAATGCCTGTGTATGAAGGTTATTTTACTTGCATTGGGGATGATTTTGATCAAATGTATGTACGAGCTCATATTTTTCTTTTTGAGT